AGAGGGTTTTCAGGAAACACTGTTAAATGTTCAGGTTCGATGCCATATGTTAAAACAAGATCTAGAGTGTGATTAAAGTGGTGGGTGGGTTCTTTTACATTTTGAGAGAAGCCAGTTGAGTCTAATAACAGATGGACAGATGTTTCAGTGTGATCAGAACAAAAGCTGCCGCTGACATCAACGTTCTCTTTGAAGCCTTTCTGGATTTAGATTTTAACCGAATTAATGTAAAGGAAATTTCTTTAACGTGATCAAATATCAGTTGGGAAGAGCCAGACCTTTGTCCAGTTTGTGTTGTCTACAAACTTTCCCCAGTATGAGATGATATGAGGAGTCGCAACAGTTTCCCGTTGAAATAAGACTCTGATTGATTTATTGTTATTTCTGGAAATCTGTGTGTGACTCTGTCTGTGCACTGTTGTGTTTATTTTTTCTCATTCTTTTCTATTTCTGTTCAAGTTCGGCACTGTTGTATATTTGAATTGTTTCATTGTTATTTTTACAGTTTGCACCTTTGATCCAGACATTTCGTCCCACTCTATACTTGAGTGTGTATTGCTTGGTTGACAATAAAATTCTACTTGGATTGTTAGAGTATTTTGCCTGCAGCCGTATCTGATGGTGATAATAAGACCACTGCTGAGGGTTTGGATTGGGACGTGACCAGAACAGCACAAACTTGAGCATAATCCCCAGGCGGGATATTAAGAAACCGGTATTCCATAAAGAGGGATTGGTGTCTGTATAAAGTGTCCATGAGAGTGCGTGACAAAAAGGTTCGGCAATGAAAAGCAGAAATTTTAATTGGGATTTGATTAATGCCAAGAAAGTTTAAAGCGCCTAGTTTAGAGCTCACATGGAGGAGAAAAACATTCCAGGTGCAGTTGGGATATTTTTGTCAATATTTTAGCCAATTAATCTTAGATGTATTGTTTAAAGTGCTAAAATCCAGACGTGTAGACCACCTTTATCATTTGCATTGCTGAGAACAGGTTTCCTTAAATACTGAGTCGCATTTCTCCACACAAAGTTACAGAGCACCTTGTCGATGTTGTTTGAAGGATTTTTCTCTACACGGAGCGACGCTTTGGCGATCAGAACTCTTCCTCCTCTTCCTCAGAGATCTCTCAGCAGACACTGTTTAGTCTGCGTTGGGTTTTCTGAATGATAGCTTCCAGATTTAAGGATGTCGTAGCCATACGTTCACACCTGTTAATATTCAGATCTCAGGTCCAGGGAACAATTTTACTGAATCCAGAGCGGCAGAGATTTGGTTTTTGTTCTTCAGAAAAAAAGAGCGATGATTAGATTTCTGTCCAGCAGAGAAACACCTCGAGGTTTACTCGACCTAATATGGTCTGCTGAAAGTTGGGCGACCAGTAAAAAGAGGTACAGAGATACGGAGCACCAGGAGTGACAAAATGAATTAATGAATTGTGTCAATAATTAATTAAAATTTGAAATAAATAAATGAATGGTCATTTAATTACTTCTCAAAATATGTTTAATTAATTAATTAATTAAACATTTCATCAATTATTTAATGGTGTATTACATTACTTCATTTAGTCACTCCTGGCCCTCCATATGTCTGTGTCAAACAGCTAACGCACTTTTATCCATGTTTGTGCGACCTGCCTTAAAGTTCTGCTCATTTCCGGCTCTCTGCTTCATTCTTGGACTTTACTGGAGTTACTTTACTGGAGTTACTGGTTTCAAAGCATCTCCATTTGTGTCGGCCATTCTCCGACACGATCGACAGAATCTAAATGTTCAACACTCGTGCTCTACGAGTCCTCGCACCTGGAGGCTGTGGGCAGTGAACTCACCTGTGTTAGTGTGTGCGCTGGCTCCTGGTGCTGTGGTGTCACCTTGTTGCTGGGGTCAGAGCTGTTTGTTGAACTCACTGTTCTCTGCTTCCAGCCTCGGGAGTCGAAGCTGTGGAGAGAAATCTGTGGCCTTCCCAGCCCACGCCTCATTCCCAAGACCCAATGTGAATATTTAGTCTCAAACACGACTAAAAGAACCTACAGACAGTCTGTAATCTGATTACATTTCATGCTGAAATTTTGAGCTCTAGTTTTTAAATTATGTCAAACAACATTTGATTCAAAGTTTGAGTTTATTTTCCACTAAAAACGACCAAAACCAGTCTCACTGCGAGTGTGCGATCTCTGATGCGCCCGTCCTGACACACGCTCATATTGCTTCGTCTTCTGGATTAAAATCACTGCCCTGCTCTTTATTTTTCCGTTGCCGTGGTGAATGGTGGTACCGGAGCTCGATTGGTGATGGCTTTCTTTCTCCACTCGTGCTGATCTCAGGGTGAAAATAATCAGAGCTGACTTTGTGGAAGTGGAAACTGAGTCATCTGGAGCTAAAGCTGCTTCCTGGAACAGGAACCATCACATGAATACTGCACTGATTTTTAAAATGTAAGATTTCAGAGATCAGCACTTCAGTGTTTACAGATTCAGCTGGATGCATGGATGAATGCGTAATGTGATTTTGGTCCAGTCTGTGTCAAACATAAAGCAAAAACACCTTAAAATCGTTTAAAATGATCATTTTTCCTCCAGTGTGGAAAACAGCACAGTGCACAGGCTGGAGTCCAGAAAGTCCACAGCTTTGTGTGACATTTGATACCACGTGTGAGTTTTAGAAGACGTAATCCAGCATGACGTGCGTGTGCCGATCGCTGGGAGCGCGGCGCCAAAACGTCGGAGTCCACTGTGGCTTCAGCGCCACGTCTCCGTCCACGTCTTCGCTCCACCAGCTGCCGAGTAACCAGAACAGACACTTGGCTGCTAAGTAGAGCGCTCCAGCGCCGAGAAGAAGCTTCAGGAAGCCAAAGTCCTCGCCGCCATCCCGCTTCTTTGGTTTTCCACTGAAAGCTGAAGACAGAAATTCAGAAAGTCTTTAAAATGGAATCTGGCTCGCGGTGCTAGCAGCTCTGAACAATCACGTCTAAATATGAGAGCTTCATTTCTAGGTTCATGTCCAGAACTTTTACAGGAGCCAATTCTTCAGCAGACCCTACAGGTGATATAAAAAGCTAAAGTAAGAGCACAGATATGACACCAGCTCATTGTCTGTAGGGAAACATGACACACATGGTTTGATTTTAAATAAATAGCAGAGGTTAAAGGTCACATTACATCATAAAGTCCTGGCCTTTTATCAGGTGTGTACACGTTTTATACCCAGTTGCTGCTACAGCTCATGATCATCTGAAGCAGTTAAGTGGAAAACGACTGGACGTCTTTTTTTAGATGTTTCACCTCATCACTGAGACTTCTGCACATCTGGATAAGACGGCCAGTTGCTTCCAACTCGAGTGCTTCTTGTGAAAGAAAACCAAAACGACAAATCATAAAAACCAATGCAAATCTGGGGAAATAAAACCTCAAACGAAGCGCACATCTCAGCTTGAACTCGGGCGACCTGACCAAAGAAGCCAGTCAGACATATTCCACATTTTCTGCCATTAAAAACTTTTACATGTGAAGCTAAACTGAACCCTGACTGCAGGTTTACCTTCACGAGGCAGCTTCCAGTAACTGTACGCCGGTAGTTTCCTGTAGTTAGCTGCAGGCCCGCTCTGTGCTGATGTGTTGTAGCTGTAGTGCACGTGCTGCTCGTAGCTGCTGGGCTGCTGTGTGGATCCGCTGTAGTACTGCACCATGCTGCAGGTTTGCTGAGCTGATGGATCCGAGTAGGGGGTCTCTCCTATGCCCTGGAGCACATTTACGTAGTAGCCCATCTGGATGAGGAAGCTGGTGAGGTCCAGCTGGGGGTTCTGCAGGGCCTGGATCAGTTCACAGCTGATTTCAAAAGTCCTGTCGAATCTGAACCTCCCAAAGGCGGCTGGGTCGTGCTCAGTGATGTACACCGTCTCCACCACCCGGGTCCTCACCCGGTAACCAATGATGATGCGATCGATGTTGGAGTTGTTGCTTCTGACACCCGGCCGATAATTTTCCCTCACGTACGCCGGCAGGTTTGCAGAAGCAGGATAAGTTTCTGTGCTCAGGTTGCCAACCTCAAAGTACGTAACCTGGAAAGAGAGTAAAGATGGAGGGCAGAGGCTGTCACAGGAGGAATAAAACAGCACTTTGCCCCTACATTCTGAGTCCTACTCCCACCTGCACGCTCCCGCCTTTCCCCTTCTTCTCATTTCACTTATAATGACATGTTTGCTCATTCAGATTCCAGCTGAGAGCTTGAAACCTCAAACTGAAGTGTTTTCACTGAACCATAACCAGCTGGGCGGTTCCCCTAACAGGAAGCAGACTGATCTCTACCTGTGAAACTACCAAACAAACATGGCACACCTTACTCCTGCTCTTCCTGGGCCTGCTCAGAACAGGAAGGAGCTCCTCCATGTTTCCAAACAGGTGGAAGCCGAAGTTCCCGTTCTCCGGCTGACAGTCTGACACCAGCTGTGTAAACACATCAGGTGTTAGTCTGATTCACACACACACAGACACACACAGACCTGATCTTACCTTCATGGTGACCACCAGCTGGATGACCTCGCAGGTCACACACTGGTTGGAAAACCAAAAGAGCAGCTGGAGGCCGTGTCGTGGAAAAGGACGGCCAAACCCTGAATACATCAGGTTCTCTGGAGTGCAGAGCTGCCACTGAACCATGGTGGAGCTCAGCACGCAACACACTCACACACATGCAAGTATTCAGGAGCTCTGCTTTCACTGTGAGGAGGCACTGCGCTGTTTCTGGTAAAAATGCAAAAACTGCACTTTGATGTATTGTTTAAATTCCATGTGTGCATCAGTGCTGAGCCAGTGTGCAGCTGTTATTATGTAGAGAGCCGCTCGCACAGTTATAACTAAAGAAATAACAAAATAATCAGAGTTAGAGAGAAAAAATGCATTTCAGTAAAAGATTTCAGTAAGTATGTGGCAATATTACAGCTCTGCTGTGGGATAAAACACACACACAACAGCATCTCATTTTTGCACATTTACAATTTTACTTTTTCACTCAGAAATACACACACGTGTAAAACTGCAGATACAGTACTGTGCAAAAGTCATGAGTCACTCATTTCTTTATATTTTGCTGAGAAAATAGAAATATTTTATTATATTATATTTTAATAATATCATACTATTAATAATAATGTAATATAATATTATTATATATTAGTTAATTATTTAAAATAGGCAATTTACTGCAAAGTGCACATAAATGGATGAAAATTATTATACATAAAGCTAAAACAGAGTTTGTACAACTCTAATGAGACTGCAGGTGTTATTGCATGAAGGAGCAAACTCTGATTGTACGATTCTATTCTCATAATTCCAACAATTAAAAAAAATTAAAATGCAGCCTTTCTATGAGCTCAACAAACATCAGCAAACACACAAACTGTTTGTCTCACGGTGTGTTGCAGCTAAAGCTCCAGCTGCTTATTTCACAGGGAGAGAGAAGAAAGAGAGCTAACATCACTCAGAGATGGAGAAAGATAAGAACGAAGGACAGGAGAGGAAGAGGAGAGCTTAGAGCAGTGGTTCTTAACCTGGGTTCGATCGAACCTTAGGGGTTCGGTGAGTCGGTCTCAGGGGTTCGGCAGAGCCTCCGCCATGACATGCATGGCTCATTTTGTGCACCAGTAAAAAAACTCACATTTTATTTTTCACTAAAGAGGGGCTCAGTGAATGCGCATATGAAGCTGGTGGGGTTCGGTACCTCCAACAAGGTTAAGAACCACTGGCTTAGAGGTAAAGGAAGGACGCTCATTTAAAGCTCACACGGAAGTCCTCGTGTTGTTAAATCTGTACGTGTCACATTATGTTTGTTCATATAAACTGAGGCAGACTAAATGTTTCGCTTTTATATCCCTGGGAGAGCGCTTAGATCAGCAGGCCAAATGCTCCTGGTGCGACCTAGATCTCGGCTCAAGACCAGAGGTGACCACGCATTCGCCGCTGTTGCACCCTACCTCTGGAATAACCTCCCCCTAGCTATTCGGGTGTCTGATTCAATTCAATCTTTTAAATCTCGATTAAAAACTTATTTGTTTAGCCTTGCTTTCCCGCCTCCTAGAGCCCACATTTTTAGTGTTCTGGAACTTATCTTTATCACTTTGTTAATGTTTATAATGTTTTAACCTTCAGCATTGTGTGTGGACTTCACTGGTGCCTACTATGCCTGGTGTATTATTGGTTAGTTATGTCACCCGCCTGTTAGTATATTTTATTTCTATGTTGTATTTTATATTTGTATTTATTATTGCTCTTAACTCATTCTGGGAAGCACTTTGGCATGTGCTATATAAATAAAATTGTATTGTATTTACTCGAGTAAAGAATTTGAATCAGTATTTGAACTTTTAGTACAAATGACACTAACACTAAACAACTAAACAAATGGGAATGAATGATCTGTCAGGCTGCTGGTAACAAAGTGCCTAAAGAAGCAACTTAAAATGTATTTTCTGCTGAGCTGGCTGTGATGAGGCAGAGTTGGGCGGCTTAACAAGCCAAGAATAAAAAAATCATTCCTCTGAAAATGCTCAGGCACAAGCACAAGTGCAAAAACAGCCCACTGTGGAGACCTGCTGCTCAGGACCACTTTAAAACATTACAACAAAGTCTGTCTCGCAGGGAATAATCTAAAGGAAAAAGGGGTGGCTCGGGACTTTCGCACAGCACTGAATAGTTGTAATATTAATAATGTAATCGTTCACATTATTCGCGTATTATGGCTTGTTTTCGATAAATGAAATCACTGAGTTCATTAAAACATTTATTCCAACAACACAACACTGAGCTGAGCCATTATAATGCAGTTCCTTATTTCTAAAAAAAAAGCTTTATGATCGTGGTCTAGTCCAATGAAGCTATTAAATAATGACTTTAAGCAAACGGCGAGCTGCAGTGCAGAGAAAATCGCTGCTGTAAAGTCTGATGAGCTGTTTTCTTCTTTATTTACCGTTTTTGTTGTTTTCTCGCTCTGTTTCCTCATTTTCAGGAGGCGCGCTACAGCCCGGAGCGCGAACGTCAAATGCGCGCTCGTTCACGTCGTTCCGTAACGTGGATCCTAGAGGACGTCCTCTGCTGGCGTCATTTGCGCGCCGCCTAGCTTCCCATGCACTCTCCTTCTCCCGAAAGCCTGCGGATAGATGTTTCGATTTCAGGTGAGTGTAGCTCTGTGGAAATAATCAGGTGTGTTTTCCCGAGGAAGAGTTCCGGTGAGTCCCGGAGAGCTCACGATGACCACAGAGCGCGCGCTGTACGTGCTCGGCGTTCACTATTGTTTATGCGGCTGAACTCGGTGCGGCCTGCGAGGCAGCCCGCTTTCCTGGTGCTGAACCGGGGACGGCGAGCCCTGTCTCGGCCCGTGTGGGTTACAGTACTGTTAAGTAAACCAGCGTCTGCTGTGACAGTCCGGAGTGTCGCAGCGGCCCTGACTGTGTCGTATTCGGCCTCTGAGGGCAGCATTTAATCGACGCGAGTCATATGCGATATCACGTCAGCATTAGCATTGCGGCTAACTCTCTCTCTAACCTCTGCTAGCTGCAGGGTGCCAGAGTGCTGTGGTAAGAAACGTTATTGTTCCCAGCAGGTAGTTTAAAAATGGAAGGCTACTAATGGCTTCTCTTGTCAGTACCATAGTGTTCGTGTTTTGAGTTAATGTCTTCTGCGTTTCATGTTTTTCCCAGTGAAAGCAGGGTCATTGTCTCAGCTAGCTACTGCTAGCATTTGGCCAGTAGTCAATGCTACTCCTAGTATTTACTTACATGCTATAAATGCCAACTCAGGCTGAGGCGTTTCTTTTGCAGCTCAGTTTAGCACACTTTGACCACTCCAAGGCCCAGTGTCGGTTTGAATCAGACTTTCTGGCACCTTCTGGATGGGTTAAATAAAAGTAACTGTCATCACAGGTCCATGTGGCCCTGACAGCACACTGATGATCAGCCAGTTTATACAAGATAATAACGGTGCTGTAAGCTCCAGCGAGTCAGCATTTTATTCATAAAATGAACCGTCGTATAACAAATCTGTCAGTTGCTCGACAAGAATGAATTTACTGCTGCCTCTGAGGACATGCGCAGTGTTTGGTAGGCGTGATCCAGCTTTTTCCAGCTCCGTTTGGATCCAGATACCAACACTGCAGCTTAAGGTATCTGCTAGATATCCACTGATCTGATACCAGTGCTAAAGGAAGTTGTGTTTCTCACGGCGAGGAAGAGACTGCGCATCACTCTCTATGCTTAAGACATCTGGCTTAATTTTAAAATTATATCCTGACCTTTGTAAGGTGACATGGCCACCGTGATCACACCTATTGATTTTCAATCCTATTCGATTTTCAAGTGAAGATTTTCACCGTGGGCTGTCTGTCACAGGTCCTTAAACAATAAGCTTGCCCCGAGTACTCCTCGTTCCTGACACCTGGAATGACCACGTTTAAAAAGTAAACTTAACATAACCTTCTCCCTCACACGGTCCCAAGCTACTACACTTCCAGCACAGTTCCTGAGCCTGGATAAAGTGGAGGGTTTCATCAGGAAGAGCACGTAGCACAAGACTGCAAAACAATATAAAGAAATATTGTCATCATTTACTTAGATTCAGAGTAAAGCGTGCAAGGCTGCTGCACCTGCATTGTTTGGTGCAATCGTTGCAGTTTCTGTGAATGTATTTTTGAGACCTGTGGGCCATCTTTGATAAGTTTTTCTATATTAAGTGTAAACAAGCCTCTGCTGAGAAATTTGTGAAGCTCTTTCAGTTCCTGCGGTAAAGAGTAACGATGCACCCGGATCAATAACAAGATTTATTTGGCGGTATGGATGCTGCTGTTTACTTTCGGCTGCTCCATTAGTTGCCAAGAGGAAGCACAGATTTACGCCGAATGTCCTTCCTGGTACAGCTCTCTCGTTTATCCCGGCTGAGGACGGACACGAGGAGACCCTGAGCAGACCCAGAACGTGATGACAAATGAAGTCTTTTGGCTGCTTTGGGAGGATGTAGGTGTCCTCCAGAAGACTGGAGGAGGTTACAGTGGAGAGAGGAGTCTGGGAGTCTTTGTTTAGCTCCTGAGAACCCGTCTGGATAAGCATCGGAAAATTGATGAACATTTTTAAACGTCTTGATGCATTCTCAATCATCCAGGAAAGTAAATGTCCAAAAAGTTGATTCTGTTCATCTGGACTTAGCGTTTTGTGGGAGAAACGTTTCGTCACTCATCCAGGTGACGTCTTCAGTCTCAGCTGACTGCAGGTTTCAATCTTATAAACAGGACATTTGCATCATGACTGAAACCAGCCCACTGAAGGAACAATGGGCTGGGAGGTCAGGTCCTTAGTCTTAATTATGCAAATTCTCATGACCATAGATCAACAACCACTGATCAATGGCCATGAGTCCCATTCACAGAGATGTCCTGTTTATACGATTGGGGAAACCTGCAGTCAGCTGAGACAAGAAGACGTCACCTGGATGAGTGATGAAACGTTTCTCCCACAAAACGCTACGTCCAGATGAACAGAATCAACTTTTTAACAGTGTCAGCTTGTGTTTAATGTCTCATCAGTTTTACAGCAGCTGAATCAGGATCATCCCTCACATGGAGGAATGGCCCTGAAGCAGCAGCAGGACATATTTTAAGCAATAATATTTATGTGTCACTAGTAAAAACACGTCAGCTTTTTGAACTGATTGTCTCTGAGACTCACTGAACTGGTTGTGTGTCAGATCGGACACACCCAGAGGATGCTTTTGATTGCAGAGCTCTGAGAATGAATAAGGTCGTGGATCTGATTTACTATAAATGTCTGATGGAGCCGTGTGTCGAGCAGGACCATCCACACGATTTAGAGGCCAAGAGGGTTTTTCTCATGCTGATGGAGAGAGGGCTTTGGATGACAAAATATCTGCAGCTGTAGAAATTATAATAATATTAATAATAATAAATTTTATTTATAGGCACCTTTAAGACCCTCCAGCTCACCTTACAATAGTACAATAACAGTAGCAATATTATAAAACATAGCAAAATACAAATTAAACATAAGGTTAAAAAAAGCATGAAAGTATAAAAGCTAAGCAAGATCAAACTACACTAAGACAGAGTCATGGTGAAGGCTTTGCAGCTCTGAGTGTTGAGACATTATTTCATAGAGTCGCAGATTATTCTGACGTCCCGGTCGCAGCTGTTCGGTCACCTCGTCTTTCACATCTGTAGATCTTTTCATCCCTCTTGTCCTCCTTTATTTTAGTCCCTGGATGAAGACTGTATGCTGGAGGAGGAAGATGATGGATTGATAGAAGACGAAGATGAAATCGATCAATTCAACGATGACACTTTTGGAGCCGGGGCCATCGGTAAGAAAGAAACATCTTTTCCAGTCTGACTCTGTTGTCTAGACGAGGTGAGGTTGTACTGTGGATCTGTCCTGTCAGATCTCCTGGATGTTCGTATTAAACACGCCTGGCTAGTTTTTTCTTGCTCTCAGGCCTGTCGGACACGTCGTGCACTGAGGCCTCGTGTAAGAAACACTTTGTGAACAAATTGCTCAAACACAGTCTAACAATAACAAAACGGAGTAAACCAATGAGCAGCATCGGTTCTCACAATGACTGATAAAAGTTTCTTTGCTGTTGTGGAGCGTGCAGTGAAATGTTTGAACCATGAAACTGAGTTAGCTCTGCATTAGCTGCATCAGCGCGTCAGGAACAGGGTCAGCTCCTTCACTTAGCTCGCAGCATTTCTCAGACTCTGCTCTGACAGGCTGATGACTGAGAGGGTGACTTATACCCTGATTATCTTTGAGTATCTGCAACAACATCTGCTTTTTATTAGCACACAGGCCCAGCTGTTCTCACCTCTCATTCAGTGAGAAAAGACTGAATGTGCTGCTGAAGCATTTAACCATGAACAAGTCATTGAACCAAGGATGACATGTAGGCCACAGTTTTACTGGAGTCTTCATTGTTACTGGAGAGAAACTCATAATTATTTTATATATTACTGGGGAGCTAAATCTGTAATTTATTGGTAGATTTGTATCACTAAGCTTTAAAATAAATGTTAGAACATTTAGACGCTCAAATCGGTGGCTGCTGTCAGCCTGGTTCTTTATTATAAGGAGCGCGGTGCTGCTCGACTGCAGAGAAACCGTATTTTAGATCACACGAGCTCAGTTTCTGGATGACAGCGCTGCCGCTCGTTTACAGCCCCGGTATACTCTGATATTTTCCAAGAGGCCCCATAAACGAGGAGGTCACATGTACGTGCGACCTCTGAGGGTTTGAAGGCGCTCTGTGTGTTTATGAACACGGATTCTCATCCTCACGTCTCTGCTTTATTTTGTCGGATGGTTTGTGTCTTTGCATATTTGTCTGTGGTGACCTTTGACCTTTCACATGTGATTTGGGGCTGCGCAGATTTGATGTTCCTTGTTTGTTCCAGATGACGACTGGCAGGAGGAACACAAGCGCCTCGCCGAGCTCGATGAACGGGACGAGTTAGGGGCGGGGCTGGGGTTCGGAGGAGGGGGGATGGGAGGGGACTCAGACTTGAGCACAAGCGAGCGCCCGTCCTCCACCCGAATCCCTTCTTCTGTAGTCCATCCCCCTCCACCATCATCCCTCGCTTCCCTCAGCTTTTCCTCTTCCTCGTCTAGACTGCCGCCATCAGGTAGGTGATGTCATCAGACGCTGAAGCATCAAGTGGAGATCAGCATCTTTTAAAGTCTGTAATCTCTCACTTCAGATGTGGAGGATCGAGTGGGGGAGGGGGATTTGGCCGAGTCTCTGGCCAGGCTGATCCTGGACGCCGACCCGGCCATCGCTGGAGTCGGGGCAGCTGAGAGACCCGGTCTGCCCCCCGGCTCCTCAGGATCCGGCCTCTCCGGCCTGCGGGGGCTGGACCAGCCCAGAGTCCTGCCGCAGCCCTCCCCCATCCTGCCTCCCACCCAGCCACACCAGCATCCCCAGCACCAGCTGCCTCCCGGGCTCCCTGCGTCAGGTGAGAATGAGTCGACCGCTCAGTGGGCTTTATTTTTATAGATGTCACCAAGATTTTAATTGCGTGCGTGGGTGTGTGCGCACCCTGACTGTGGATCTGTTGTCACATGACTGTTGGTCACAGTTGATTCGTAGCGTCTGTCATTTGGTGTCTTTTATATGAGCTGGTTCGTGTGAGCAGCTTCATTTTGGGGAATTTAAATGTTGAATAAGTTGATGAAATTTCATATTTTTAAAGATGCACTTGTTGTTCATCAAAGAGTCGTTGTAAGAAAGCTTGGCTTCTTAACCCACTGGCAGATTTTGGAGCCTAAAGGGTTGATGTTGAATTCGTGGCTGCGATGCTCAGAGCAGACCTACCTGCTGTTTGCTTTCTGCATGTCGGGAACTTGGGAGGTAAAACCAGGAGTCATTTTCTGCCTCATGAGAAACGCTGGTATCCGAAATTTGGAAAAGCCTTTCACACACTTGGAGCAAGAAAGTATTTGTCTTCCACAGCATGTCTTTATCCTGTCTTCCTTCTCTCACCAATCACAGCAGATGGCCCCGCCCCTCCCTGAGCCTGGTTCTTCCGGAGGTTTCTTCCTGTTAAAAGGGAGTTTTTCCTTCCCACTGTCGACAAAGTGCTGCTCATAGGGGGTCATATGACTGTTGGGTTTTTCTCTGTATCTACTGTTGTGACATATAAATAAGATTGAATTGAATTAATGTTTGACAGTAAAACTGAACAGAAGCAGATCAAGTGAACGCCTCGTGTGAGGCTGCTGTGCTCTCTGAAACTGCCGGGCAGCTTCCCAAAGATTCCCGCTCTAGGATCAGGCCGGCGATGACTCCGTGTTTCTGCTGTTCGTTCAGCAGCTTAAGTTCACATTAGCTCCAGAAGCATGCTGTGTGTTTGCCCTGTGTAACTGAAACCTGCTGTTGTGCTTCAGGCCTTCCTCCCTCGTCCATGCTCAGCTACCAACAGCAGCAGCACTTGCTGCGCAGAGGCACCGCCCCCATGGGCCAGGTCAGTGTTTTTCCCTTCATGTGCAGTATCAGACTTTGCAGCGTGGCAAAATGTTTTTGAGTAAATTAAATTGAATCGTGCACCAAAAATCTCCGAACAGGTGGATTTAAGATTTCCTGTCCTGTGTTTAGTCTGATCACTGCAGCAGAATCGGTTTAAGCCTGATGTGCATGTTTGTTTCTTGAATCTGTCTCTCATAGATGAGCTCTCACAGTATTTGGGAGAACAGCATGGGCTTTGGCCCCGTGAGCGTCGCCCCGGGATTGCTCACACACATGGAGGTTCAACTTTACTCTTCTTATTGGATAGCTAACCGTTCAGTTTAGGTGTTAATTCTAGGATCAAACATAAAGAAATGAACGACTAAATACATTAATGTAGTTATTGTTCATATTTTTGCTCATATTTCTGTTTTCAGGATAATCCACTCATGTCGATAATCAAAGAGGTGGGCCATCCTAAACGAGCTCCTCAGGGCAGGAACGATGAGGATCTGTCAGAGAGGGCTCCTCCTCCACGCTCTTCTTCCCCTGTGATTGGCTCCCCTCCGGTGAGGGCGGTGCCAATCGGGACTCCACCCAAACAGCCGATGAGCCACGCGCTGAATCACCAGGTCAGAAACAGGAAGTCTTCCTGCTGGGTGTCCCTCCCTGCTGTGAACACGTGTTTCTGTCGCAGGATTTAAACGTTGCCGTGGCGCCGAGATGTGCTTTTAAGGTTACGAAGCAGCACGGCAGGCGTCCGGCTGCGTGTAATGGCCCCGTCTCTGTTAACCCCGCCCTCTGTCTGTGTGTGTTTGTGTAGATCCACCATCCCACAGCGGTCCACGTGAGAGCTCCGGTCCAGCACAGATACCCCGCTCCTTTCCCCGAGCGTCTGTCTCCCAACACCCTCCTCAACATTGCTGTGAGTGTTTCCTCTCCACCCGCTGCCCCGTCTGCGTTAGTCAGCAGACTCCTGCGCTCAGGACGGTGCGCTGCAGCGTGTTTACAGGCCAAATAGAAAAGACATCACAGGTTTATTTTATATCATGTGGTTTTCATTTACGCACCATGGAACAATAAAAGTGCTAATAGCACTGTTTGCTGTATTTGATGATGAGCTAGCAGCTGATTGTGTGGTGACCTCCACCAGCACCTGATCAGGTGGTTCAGCACTGAGCTGATGGAGGCTGCAGGGTGGAGCTGTGTGATTTGGGATCACAATGAAATGATTGCACTTTGTATTGTAGCTTAATCAGGATGACTGAAGAGCGTTCAGTCTGTGTGGGGCTGATGACATCAGCAGGTTTCTGTAGGTGAACCTGCGGAGGCGGAGCCTCGCGGTCACCACCAGGGCTGTGGATGAAAATACTTGAACCTGTGACTGTGTGGACGGCTCGAGCTGCTGTGTGTAGTCACACCCACAAAGGTCCAGGAAGGACCCGTCTATGTTTATAAAGGCGGGAATCATATTTACAGCTTCGGGCCAGCTGCTCCGATTTTAGTTTTCCCCACAAACAGCGCGGTCATGTGACCTCATCACCGTGTTTTACTCTGACGTCACTTTTTTGTGTGTTGTCAGAACTCTCCTCTGTGCCGCGGCCCGTTCCCCCCCAGAGTCGGTCCTGTTCTGTCGCAGATTCAACGCGCCCAGCTGCTCAACTCTCAGGTCAGACACACACGCACACACACAGAGACTTGCATACATGTTGTTATTACACACAACCAGTTCAATTCCACCATCAGGGTCTTTCTGTGTGGAGTTTGCATGTTCTCCCCGTGTTTGCGAGGGTTCTGTCCTCCGGCTTCCTCCCACTGTCCACAGACATGCAGTTAGTGGGGATAAGTTATTTGATCAAATTGCCCACAGGTGTGACTGCAGGAGTGAATGTGAGTGTGAATGGTTGTCCGTCTTTGTGTGTTGGCCCTGCGACAGACTGGCGACCTGTCCAGCGTGTACCCCGCCTCTCGTCCAATGACAGCTGGGATAGGCTCCAGAGCCCGCGACCCTGAAAAGGAGAAGCGGATGGATGTTTTTACATACATGTTGTTATTACTTACATGTTAGGCTACCCTGTTAAGCGTGATCGATGACATGTCAGCGAATGCTCCCTCACAGCTTCTCAGGTTCTCGACTGTCCCGTGTGTCCAGGTGGCAGGATTTCCCCGCGGCGGTCCTCCTCCTCTGCTGCCAGGCGGGGGAGGTTTCAGGCCCTTCTTCGGAGGCCCTCCTCCTCCGCACGGTCACCGAATGGGCCCCCCACCACCTCACGGGCCCCCTAACCACGCGCCGCCGCTCCGGCACAACACCACTCACCTTCACCCACAGCACCGCCGCATGCTCACCCAGCGCATGCAGAGCCGAGGAGGGTAAGCAACCGCGCGAGAAACACAGCCTGCTCATTGGTCGATTCGACGCGCGGTCATCGTCTTGTTGCGTCTGTGCAGGGACCGCAGGCCCGGGATGGACCGGCGCAGCAGAGACCCCTACAGCAACCTGATGACTCAGAAAGAGAAGGAGTGGGTGACGAAGATCCAGATGATGCAGCTGCAGAGCACAGACCCTTACCTGGATGACTACTACTATCAGGTGGGTTTCACCGACGCTTGCTTCAGGTAGAGCAGCCCCACACGAGTCAGTGTGATGGTTGTTCATTGTGTGTGTGTGTGTGTGTGTGTGTGTGTGTGTGGGTGTGTGTGTAGAACTACTATGAGAAAATGGAGAAGCGTCAGGAGAAAGAACGAGACAGCAGCAAGAAGGAGCACACCACCAAGCTCATCACTCCTCAGGTGGCCAAGGTGGAGCACACCTACAGACCAGGTAACCCACACCGGCGCTTCGCCGCGTGATGTCACATGTCGCGCTGCTCGATCAGCTGCTCAGCTCTGACGCGGGTCTGTCTGCAGTTCAGTTCGCAGGCTCTCTGGGTAAACTGACCGTCTCCAGCGTCAACAACCCCCGCAAGATGATCGACGCCGTGGTGACGACTCGCTCAGACGACGAGGTTTTTATTTCTTTCTACATGCAAACGTTTTTATGACGACGCTGCTTCAGCTGCACTTTATTCGGAAAGTTTGCTTTATAAACAAAAATGGAGGCTCGCATGAGAGCGGGTTGTTTCTTTAGACCAGGTGACGATCAGGTCGTACAAGAACAAAACACGTTGTTAGACCATGAAGCAGCTGCAGGATCTCCACAACTTCAAATGCTCTGAAACTTGGTGAAAGGTTTGATCACATCAGAAAGCTGCCTCGTGATCGAATCAGAAAAACAGAATTCTGATTAAGAGTCGGCTGGAAATGAGAATAAATGAGACGTTATGGCACTAAATACATCAGTGTTTCCCTCACATGTGTGTTTGTATGTCGCTCTGAGAGAAACCTGAGTCTTTGCCGTTAGCAGACGCTGCTAACAGCCTGCGGCCCAGCAGCTCCACTCGAGGCTGGACGTACGGCACAGCTGGCAGTCGGTGTTACGGTGGATCGGTGTCCCTGTGAAACGAGCTTCAAATTGTCCTGAATCCACTTTATCCACCAAACCCAGCAGGCAGATAGAAACATGTGACACAGCAGCTGTTTGGTTCTGCTTTTCTGTTTTATCAGGTTTCAGCTCTCGTTGATCTTTTTGTTTCCGTTTTCTTGAAGGAGAAACGAGAGAAGCAGGTTTGGAATAAGAGGCGACAAATCCTCTACACAGTGGAGAAGGTAGGACGAGCAGAGCCGTGCACGACAGGATGTTCATGCAGACGGCAGGAAACGCTTCGAGAAATGTAACCTTCCTCCTCTCTCCTCCTCCCCCTCCGCCCTGCAGATGTACAGTTTGCTGTTGGAGGTTCAGGACTTTGAGAAGTGCTTCGTCCAGGCGCCGGAGGAGGACCGCGAGGCTCTGCTGGAGCAGCACAAGAGCAACACGGAGCAGCTCTGCAGCTCGCTGCGGGAGAAAGAGTGGGACGACAGGTAGGAGGGGGCGGCCCTTACCCTGTCCAATCAGCGCCGTCACAGGCGGCTCAGCGGTGTAACGTTTTCTTCTCCTCCTCTGTGAAGAGTGAGTGACGAGCAGTGTGTGATGATCATGTCGGTGAGGAAGGGCAAGCGGCTCATCTCCCGGCTCCTCCCCTTCCTGCCCTCAATGCAGGCTGCTGCTGTTGTCATGGCAATTGCCCGCAACCTTCCCGCTTTAGCCAAGAAGGACAAACAGGACCAGGTAACCCCCGCAGGAAGTGACATCACTTTCACCTGTGTCTGTGCGGCGTTAACGCCTCTGCTCTCTGTTCAGGTGCTGTGCTGGTTGGTGGAGCCGGTTTCTGCAGTGATCCAGTCGTTATCGAGCGCCTCCCTCACAGATCTGCTCCAGGAGCTCCAAGGCAGCGAGGGCCAGCTGGCCACCGTGCTGCACAACAAGGTACGTGCCGCCCAGCCCGGACCAATCACAGAGCACGCGCCTCACTCCAGGTCACCCATAGCAACAGAAGGAAATGCCGTTTGTGCCACTTCCTGTTTCCAAAGTTTCTGAACTTTTTTTCTTCAACGTCACGACCAAACTCCAGATTTCAGCTGCTGCAGCTGCTCTGACAGAGTCTGTGATCACATGATTACACCTGAGCGCTCATTTCATTGTAAAACAAGCTGAAGAGTGTAAAGCTAGCATCACTGCAGAGACGCAGCTGTGCTCGGAGTCCCTCTGCTATTGTCAGAGTGATGCGTTGGCTCTGAGAGACGGTTTGGGGGGATTTTTGTTGCTGTTTTTTTTTTTTTGTTTAACAAACTGATGTTCGTCCACGTGTGTTCACATGCACACGCCTGTTTCTGTCCAGTTTGGCGTGACGCTGCTCTACGTGATCCTGAGTGAAGGTGAAAGGATGCAGAGCTCCGACCCAAACTGTCAGCTCATGGACGACAATCGATGGTGAGCCGTGCGTGTGTCACTTTTAAAACAATCTAACATATAATTGTATTCAGAGGATTCACTGACGCCTCTGCTCGGCTACTTTTCATGTACTGTGCAAAAGTCTTGCGCCACCCCTCGTTTTATATTTTTAAATTGGTCTAAGCAGCACCTGGTCTGTCAGTGTCGTTCTTGTACCTGAATGTTTTCACTGTTCAGCCACATGATGCTCAGCCAGTGCTGTGTCTGCACATAACGGACAGATGAACAGTTTCAGGTTTTGTCACAACACAGCTGCAAACTTGGCCTCTCAGTATGGCGTGCACTCAGAACAGAAGTGTGCAGCTTAACATTAAGTCAGCGTAAAAGGATTGCTACATGTAATAAATGATATTGAAATTAATTTGGAAGATTGTTTCAAATACTTTTGGTTTATTTTTATTAAAAAGTAGTTAAAAGTCTTCCAGAATTAACTGAACCTGTAATACCAGTTACCACCACAAGATGGTGCAGTGAGTCATGTGATCTTCATCGTCTGTGGTAAAGTCAGGTCAGCTGAAAAAAGATGAAGTCCTCTCCATACAGCTGCTGGAGAACGGCGCCCCCTGGTGGGGAAAGTTTGATGTGATTCGTGCTAATGACAGTGAGCATGACCCCGCCTCTCTCCTCCCTCAGGACTGAGTTGGTGTTTTCGGTGACGAGGGAGCTGCTCAGCGTCCCCTCCTCGTCCCTCTCTCCCCCCCTCTTCACCCCTCCCAACCTGCTCTCCCTCTTCTCGCGCTACGTTGACCGGCAGAGGCTCGAGCTGTTACAGGACAAGCTACAGTAAGTGAGCGGCGGACGAGCGACGGCGAGAACACGAGAGGGGCGACGTTAAACTGACGTTGTATCCTGTTTCTGTTTCAGGATCTCTGCTTTGTCCAGGTAGAAGTTACTACACGCATCGACGCAGCCCCTCCCCCACCCACCCACCCGATGCAGACCTTTTGTTTTCTCTGTGTGTGTGTGTGTGTGTGTGTGTGTGTGTGTGTGTGTGTGTGTGTGTGTGTGTGTGTGTGTGTGTATGTGTGTGTGTGTGTGCTGTCTGTTCAAGACAATTGGAATTTTTCTGTGGGTAAATAAGAGGCAGAATGAATAGAAAATGCATTCGTCTTACATCGGTAGGAACTGCAC